AGAAGAAGAAGAAGAAGAAGAAGAAGAAGAAGAAGAAGAAGAAGAAGAAGAAGAAGAAGAAGAAGAAGAAGAAGAAGAAGAAGAAGAAGAATAGGTGGGTATGGGTGTGGGTGGGTGGGTATGGACGTGTCTGTGTGTCTGTATGTGAGAGTGTGTGCGTGTGTGTGTGTGTGTGTGTGTGTGTCAAGAGAGGAGGGGTTAAAGAGAGAAAAAATGGCGTTGGGCTCAGTGAGAGATGGGCAGTATGAGAGACAATGCCATATCCATCATTTGAGTGCAGTCAATGATAAACTATAAATAGCAAAAGTGTATACACGCCACGGGTGAGGTTAGAAAACAAACGGGTTAAGTCTTACTTCAACGCCGTTTGAATATGTCAATGACAGATCGTGCACTAAACGAAACACGTTTTAATTAATACACTGCAAGAAAGCATACCTTACAATAATATTCTTTCCCCACTAATATACAATAATGTTTTGTAAATCTGTGTCTTAGATGTAGAGTTTACCTTTTTGATTATCAATTCAAAGTCTCTAATGATCTTAAACTAACGGTATTTAGTCTGAATTCTAAAGATTCTGAGATATGTTAGGGCAAGCCATATACCAACATTTCTCAAGCCGATTTTAATATTATTCCTACTCTGTTACAGTCAAACCCTTTGAAAGAAATTAGGTAGTTACGACCTATAAACCTTGTTTAATAATTACAAAATATTATATGACATAATTCTCTTAATCTGCTTCACTCGCCTGTTTGCAAAATGAATGCCCATAACAGATTTAAGAAAGCATCATTAGAGATTAGCCGTGCCACATGACCAACATTTCTTAAATATTTTTTTAACAAGTTTGTCATTTGAATTCTCCTTCTTTTTAACAATGCAACTAATACAAAGAATGACCTTCATCAAAAGATAAGAAGAGAGGGTTTTGTTGCTTTGTTTTTGATTGTTTTATTTTTGTTAGTTTTTTAATATTTTAGTAAAGTAGGTTAGTCTCCAGATTTTTGAGGACGCATAACTTTGTTTTGTTTTTTCAAAGTGGGCCTGAAAACGAAGCCGGCATAAATCTAAGTTTTTTTGTTTTGTTTTGTTTTGGGGGTTTTTTTAATTAGGTGACGCATGCTCAGTATCAAAGGTTGACAAACGCAACTACGAAAGCCTGAAATTTGAAGAAAGCTTAGTCGGTACGATCTCTCTATAAATACACCGTGTGCCAGGAGCAACCAACAAACCTTTCCCCAAGGACTCTTCATCGGAGCTCAAGATCCGCGCAGAGGTATGTATATCTGGTCAGGGGCAAAGAAACACCGGGAATTGGTGTCAACAATTTACTTCTTGATTTTGAAGAAGACTAACGAGCACGTCTGACTAATCAAAGGATAGAATATAAAAATCTTTTATGGACTGACATGGTCTTGTAGTTGTTTCTTTAATTTGTTAAAAATAAGAGTTAAGTCGACAGAGACGCCCCTTTATAGTTTTGTTCCGCATTTTTGCAG